CGATGAGGGTATTGGTAAAGGAAATGTTAAGTCGAGAAGGTTGCTGTTTGCAGACGACGCTGCATTTGCATCCGATGAAACGAATCTTCAGAGCTCTTTGGAAAGGTTTGCAGCCGAAAGCGACGTGTATCGCATGCGTGTGAATGCGTCTAAAGAGAAAAGCCTGATGGTTTCTCGTTCTCCTGTCCATCACTCGCTTTAGATAAACTGAGAAGCTGCGGAACACAATAAGAAGTTCATGTACCTTGGGGTAGTGTTTGCGTGTGATAGAAAATGGAAATAAGTCGACCGACGAATTGGAATAGCCAGAGGCGTTTCGCGTGAACTAGACTGAACAATTATAACTAAAGCAGAGCTGAGTCTGAAGACTAAGTCTCTCTCCCTGCTCAAATTCATCCTCATTCCGATACTCACCTAAGGTGATGAGTCTTTGGCCATGACTGATAACTTCGATCACCCGGGTACAAGAGGGTTACACAATGAAATGGGTTTCCTAAGACGAAATACTGGCATGGTCCAAAGTAAAGATATTCGAGAGCGACTTGGCATACAGCCGCTGCTCTTCCAGGTTAAAAATTCAGAGCTGCGATAGCTTGGTCACTTCTACCAAATACTTCCGGAAAGGAAGACAAACCCACTACTATTTGCTCAAACAAACGTTCGAAGACTGCGGAGACGGTCAAAAATAACCTGGAGCAAGGGACTCCGACCTAAACTAAGGTTAACTTCTGGAGAAGCTCAAACGCTGGCGCAGGGAGTGGGAACGTTGGAAGCACTGTCTGACGTATCTGCCACCGCGACCCAAAAGTATACGCGGTAGTCTTAACTGACTGACTGAATTATACCGAAATATAATCAAAAGAAAACACTAAACAAATGACTGAATTTAGAAGGGATAAAACTATAATTTACAAATGATTTGAACGAAACTACTGACCTGTCAATGCAGATTAAAAAGTTTTTATCCAAAGAAATCTGCTTCAACTTGGAACGAAATTGAGACGAATAGTCGCTGATGATGTCGAGATGAATTTTGATCATGCATATACTATCGCCAATATCGGCAGCCAACTAAACATAAAGAGTTTTGCAATTATTCGCATAACTGTCAGACAAAGTGAGGAAAAAATTATATACAGTATACCTATAGTGTACGTAGTCAGACTCAAACACCCAATCAGCTTAAGAATCTATTATGCACCAGTGCTATACTTCAGATCCAACTTCGATTCAACCGATGTCTCATTCAACATCGGAAATAAATTTCTCTCACAACTCATTTCCTTTTCTTTTTCTAGGTTTATCAGATATTCCAACCATTTATTTACCACTGCCAAACTCATTATATTATGAGTGGCACACATTCATGGAGGGTGCAATCTAGAACAGAGAATACAAAAACGATGGTCCTATGAAAAAGTGTTGTGAAGAAGTTCGACAAACTTCAGAACACAGCCGTTCGAGATATCTTCGCTTGTGAACCTTTCATAAGATCAAGAGACTAAAATTTCGACAGGTTAGACACGTGAGCAAAGTGACCGAGAAGAGGACGTGTAAACACTTCGCAAAGCCACCTGGCAAGAAACCAGAGAGAGGTCAAGGGCCAAATGGTCTGAATATATTGAATACAACGCATTGTCCCGTAAAGCCTGCCAGATTTGCGAAGGACCGGGGACAATCTGAAAATCCTCCTAATGAATGTGCAATCGAAACTCAAAAAAACAGCTTGTGAAAATTAAGGCATATGATGCTTTAAAATTGCGAACAAGCATTTTTAAATTGATTTTAAAAGGATTACTAGTGAAGAGTGCAAACCGATTAAACGCATTTTGGAACTAAAATATCTGCCATATTCTGTATCTGGTCAGAGCCGCTTACTTGTAATATTTCATCCGCAATGGTAAAATCAGCTGCAACGCAAAGATTCGTAGCCTTCTTCGTCATTATACCCCACAACTGCTTCGCTTTCGGGTGAATCAAACTCAATTTTCGGTCCAAACAGCGTAAGTCCTTTAAATGGCGCTTTAAAGTAAGTAAAGTAAAGTATATTTCCCTTCTACCTTGATTTCGCTAACCCTGTCATTTGCGTTGTTAACCAAAGAAGTCTGATGAGACGAAAGATAGTTAATCACTCTGTTCTTCATGTCTTCAGAGATTCTTTTATCGATTAGCATTTTTTCGATTACTTCTATTAGGCAAAACAAGCTAAAACGTTTGAGTTAAACGGAGAGCATATGAAGTCTTGAAAGTCCACATCTTTAACTTTAAAACTCACAAAACAAAAAAACAGTGGCACATACTGGTACAAATATAGATTAAATTATGCATTTTCAAACCGTCCTGGTAATGATTAAGGCACTGACATGATAGCCAAGTTTAGCCAAGTCAAGAACGCACAGAAAGAAAGAGAAGTTTCAACGCCGTGACCATGGAATGGCTGCAACTGAAGTTGCCGCAGTAAAGTGTTTGGCGGAAGGTGTCAAAGGTGATTTTGAGATTGAACGAAATACGAGCATGCTTGGTGACAGAAAAACGATTAGTTTAACTGACGATAGCTGATCTTTCAAGAACTAAGCGTGAAATAGTTCTAGTGCCGTAATTGGGGAGGAGGTGCATTAATGAGAGAAATTTTATTCTCTCCATGATACATCGCACGACTTAAATTTTTTTCGTTCAAATGAGGGAAACAAATGCATTGTCATAAATGGTACACACATATGTGAAGAGCAAGCGCTATTCTGAGACAGGCAGCCGAAAAACGCAGGGATGCAAGTCGAAAATGACTGGATGAAAATACAGGACATTTATTGTTCTCTGATCTGAGCGAACTTAAAAAGGAAACTATAGCCACATTTCAAATCAACATGTGCTGAAGGGAACACGAGAACTTAAAAAATTTTCAAAGTATTAATAAAATTTATTATAACTACGTACAGATATATGGCCAGACACACAGATACTTGAAACATGCACCAGATATATAAAATATGATATTCAGACGCATAACTGGTGTACAAATAACATGTAAATAAGGGTATTTGCCGCAATCTGAAACAGTTAAGGGCTTCTATTGCCGCCTATTTCACCGCGATACCCAGTGAGCGTTGCTGTTTAACATTTTTCAGATGATTGCTGAGGCGTCAGTTTGAGACCGATAGGTAGTCCTTCGTTTGTTTAGCCCAACAGCCCACCCTCAGATGCAGATGCGTTGCTTCACGTCAGTACTTGGTCTTGACCTGTCCCAATGGTCCGTGGTATCCCGTTCGGTTCATTTCTAGATGTTACCACTGCAGCACGGTTGAAATCATTCCCTTCGTCTAAACTGAAGTCGCAACACTGCAGCACCATCATTCCCAGCCTCTTGCAGAATCTGTCACTTCTCGTTCACTCCAAAAGCTTCATGTGCTGTACTAATGCACAACACGTTTTTTGGTATTGATTATAAGGATTAATAACGGCAACAACGTTTATATCGATTCCCTTCAGTGTGTTGCCAGTCCAGTATATATTATATCACATTTCGATTTCAAGCCAATAAGCTAATAACTCCAACAAACTGAACTTCGTGACATATTGCACTGCCTCTGCTCCAGATGCCAGAAGGGTTGATTAAGCAGACCAAGGTATTCAAGCATCGGCAGCGTATTGATATAGATTAAACTATTCAAAGAACTGCTTATTATCATAAATCCTGAAGGTATCCGCTACGGAGATTGGGAAACAACCAAAGTACAGAATCGCGTGACAGAAAAAATACGGCGGATTGTATACTTACAAACTGCGGCAGTACCATAATCGTGTGGCATGAACCCTAAAACGGCCGACTAACGAAGTTTGGGAAACCGGGTTGAGGGAGTTCTCTGTGCAGTTTAAAGCAGCTTTGCCGTGGACACTCTGATTGCAAACTCGCGATCTCAGGTAAATACGTTATATATCGCCAGAAAAGCAAATGAAATCATACTGTAATGACTTCAGCCTTCTGAAAGACAGATATACTGATGCACCTGATAATTTTACTAGCTAAAGGAGTATACGATCGCTATCAGTGCTGTTACAGGAGTGGCTATTCCACATATGCACAAGCGAAACCAAAAATATTGGCGGTTAATGAATATCAAAAATACCAGCTCCTGAAACTCCTTTGATGATCAGCAAGGTACTACTTTAGCAAATAAGATTACGCAAGATTATCAACTGCAAGATTTGTGATAAATTCAACAAACACAAGCACGTTTTAGAGGTTTTAGACACAAGATGAGTCGAAAGTTTTGAACAATACTGACACTGTTCATAATCAAATAAACACCGCGTTTAGCTATATAAAGGTGTTTCAGTTCTAGTCGAAGAAGTTTCTGAATAAGTACCTAAACCTTCACTGAAGAATAACAGTAGCCCAAAATATGCACGGGGGTCAATCTGCAGTTTAAATTTCTTAATTCATTATCTGCTCTCGACCCGAATTGAAGTTGAAAAGATCCAGCACTGAACTGCTATAAACTTAAAAAGACTGGAAATACTACGAAGGTAAAAATTCAAAGGATTGAAAATGAGCACCTGTGCAGCTGCAGACCATTAGCGGCTAAGTTAGGTTCTGCACCTTGATTCCTGTTGATGACAACAATAACGTCGGTAACCACTAGGCCAACAGAGCGGAGTACCTATCGCTAGAAAATTGAAAACTGTTCAGAAAGTGTCACATACCTTAGCTGTGTCGATTATGCTGGCTCCAGATGTAACTACGTCCTCAACGATGAGGCACGTACTACCAGTTTTGATTTCGCCCTCGACGAGTTTTTTTGTACCATGTGTTTTCACCTCCTTGCGTTGAATAACCATCGGCAGATTATGATTAATGCAGAGACACTAAAATTACAGTGATGATATTACGGCAACAGTACCGCTTTTTAACGATTAAAGAGGACACAACAGCAGAAATTAGTTTGCAAGCTTTAAGTTGATCGGTCGCTGTTGGAAACAAATTACGAAGCCAGATCTGCAAATTTACTGAAAATTCGCATGAGAAACGAATTTTTCATCTTCGTAAGAACATATTCCGACATAACTTCAGCCAAGAAGCGAAGAGGAAACACCTGAATTATATAAAACTCGATCAGATGTGCCCAAGTATGGTTAAGTCAAGCCCAAGTACGGTCATACTATTTACCACATGCTTGGCCCACTTGAAGACGAATAAATTTAATTCAGAATAAACAACGGTTACTAAAACAGCTCCAGTTATTAACATGACGTATTTTGGAAACTAATGAATATGAAATCACATTTATTATTTTCTCACCGAAGTTCGTCGCAAAAGGAAAAATGAAGGCATGGCAAAGGAAAAACGGCAAAAGAAAAAATGATCCTTTATGGTAAAAGGAAAAATGGTCTAGCCTATTAGCGGTTTCGTGCATTCTGATATAAGTTTCCGGCGCACTGGGACAATGCAATGACAAAAAGGACGGACGGCCTCGAACTGAGGAGGTGTTGGATTCAAATCCTGAAAAAGACAAAATCTGTCTTAATCGCTAATTCCTTTGAGCAAGTAATTTACCCCCCAGGCTGCTTCGGCGTATCAAACTGAGAAACCGCTAGCAAGCGACGAAGAGTCGTGCAAGATGCGAGCCAAGGCGGAAATAACTTAATTTTGTTTCAGTTTCGTCTGACAGTAGGCGTTCACCAATTTTAAACTCGTACCGAAATATGAGAATATACAGGACGATGAGCCGAATGAAGCGAACGTTTGTTGTCAGAGGGAACACCGGTGCTGAAGAGTAGGCAAAATATTAGAACGTGGTGTACTGCAACAGTCAACGACGATCGGGTGCAATCAGGAAGGGGCAGTCAGACGCGCTCCCGAAAACGACCGGAAGTGTAAGCCAATCAAGGGAGAATCCGATGGCGCCCACGAACCGAAGGAAGTGCTTGCCTGGCACAACGGAAAGATCAAGATGTCGGCAGCAAGACAAATAGATGTTTTTATCAGCGACGTTTCGTATCGGAAGAGCAGCCAACAGGTCAACGCAAACTGGCCCTTGAGGACGAAAAAAGATCCACAGCAGTATAAAAGGGACCGTCCACTTTGGTAGAGCACTGATATCGAAAACGGGATTGACGAAGATGTGTTGTTTGCAGATGCTACCTGTGCATATAAGCAATTGTCAAGAAAAGCTTTTCGCTATGATCTCGTTTCTAGTTCTCTCGCACTCCCCCCAACCGCTGCAGTACAAGTTCTTCAACAAGAACTGCAAAATCGAAGCAGTTATTACGAGTGATAAACTTAAGGACCCGGGGAAGAATGTGAAAATCAGTTTTAGGAAGTTCAGGATAAAACATAATTGAGGCCGAAGTAAAAAAGGAAGAGTGTAAGAGATTATTAACAGATGTGCCAGGAATTCCGTAGCCCTACCCGCTACCACCAACCACTGACCAATAACACGCTCTTCCGCGTTTTATCAGCATCCCATGTCACGTGTTTAGACAAAGACAAGTCTTGAGACAGAAGGAACCAACACATTCCGTAGAGTTTATACGTTCAACTTCAAGATCATCACTTTAGAACGGAACGTCACATGGGCACAGAAGCTGAAGATTTTTGTATTCTCAGCTAAACAGTAAATATGACACTTTTCAAGAATAAGCCACAGCAACACATCAGACGAACTTCTAACGAAGTTAGGTAGGTCGTTTCGGTGTGTGAGAAGCAAAGAGATATTAGTTATAACTGTGGAGCTCGTTGTGTTGCCTGCATATGTGAAAAGACATCACGGGGCGATGAGTCATAATTCGCCAGTGTAGAAGATGAATAGAAGAGGAGATAACGCGGCGCGTAGAAGCGTACTACTGTGGTTCATTTGAGGGCTGGACATATGTAATCAAAACAGCCACAGAACTGTTTTTCCTCGGTAGAATAATTGTCATCTAAGTGATGAATTCTTCCACGTAACTGAATTGGAGCGAATCTATTTAAAAGTTTAGGCTGCAAGATCGGCATTCCTTCAGTTTCGATAACCGCTTATCCTGTCAAGTCGGATAGGCAGATGCGTCACACAGAGTAATCAATGTTCCAGATCCTGTGCCAGCATCTAATCTTCGGAACAAGAAAACAAGTTTCAAGCCCAGGACTCAAGCAGTGATTCGATGCACTTGCCTCAGGTCGTCTCAGCAGTCTTCGGCGAGTCGGTTGAGCAGTTTCGATTTTTCCTCTGAAAGCATTGCAACACTTGCCCAAAATACCGCATTTCTGACATCTCAAGTTGATAAGGCAT